TCCTACTTGAAAGTCCATACAGAATTTCAGTGACCATTTCCTGAAATCTGTCACTGGCTGCACGATATCCAAAAGGGACATAGTAGGTCATTGTCATCAAGAGCTAAGGTTCTTGGCCTAACTGAGCAAAAGACCAGTTCTAATAACATTTTAGAGGCTGCTTTGTCCGCACCCTTGGACTGCTTTTAAACTACGTCTTGAACATGCAGCAGTGACTGCAATTCCAGGCCGACGAAAATTGGCGACATATATGAACCGAACTAGCAAAAACCGAGCCTGCTTATTTGTCTTTACTCGATGGTCTGAGGCAACCTGGTCGTTCCTTCGAGTCAACTTCGTACCGTCGCTCCCAATACATTGCTTTACAATAACAAGGCAGTGTAAACGCACTCCAGAACGTTCCGACGCTGTTCCTTTTTATATCCCATTGTTTCGAAAGCAGGTCGGGTATTTCCAAGTTCAAGAAGATGGGCATCGGTGTTAGATCCCCGTCGTGCGTCAGAAGAAGAGTAAGTACACGTCCAGTGACGGAACAATAGTAAACCGTTAACATTCCAGTCGTTCTTATCGAAACACCGCTCTTATTACATTGCCTGCCATGTGGACTCACGAGCTACGGAACGAACGGGGTACAACCAGGCACACGGCTATTTGTTGCTAGTGGGCTCAAAGTAGTGAGGACATCTAGTCAGTTTATCTTCACCCGGCTCAGAATCCCAGCCTTGTTGTTTTTCCTTCGTGAGTCCGACTCGTTTCCAAACCGCTGCAGGCAGATCGTTAAGAAGTTTCGGCGATACTGCTCGTACGTCCTCTCCCTCGAAGTCTGACGTAAGAATAACCGAGTCTTATTTGCTCACTACGTTCGTATCTACTGTCTTGTTTACTTACCTCAGGGTCGAGAAACCGCCCCCATTGGAAATTTCCTTATTTTTTATCGCCTTATTATCACGTTAGCCCCTCCTAACTGGAGACGGGGTGATGAGTAGGCTGAAGAACGGAACCCCACGGCTGATTGAAGTGTGACCGGTTAGTTATCAGTGTTTAGACAGGCTTAAAGCGTACACTTCAAGTCGCCAGCAGGTAATCAGTTGGGTCTGACTGTCGACAAGTTTTTTTTCGACGTCATGCACGTCCGCGTTAAAAGACCTTTCAGTCTGATTTCGTTGCCATTTAAGTAGGCTGATGAAAGGCGTAAAATTAGACATCAGCCCCGAGATCGTTCAACAGACGACGATAGGATTTCTGAAATGAACCAAATACTCTGGTGCCAGTGAGTCCAATAATTGTACCACAGTCACCGAGGATGAGCCATTTGCCGCTGATATTTCTTGCAGTACGAGGCCGACTTTTCTTGCGGCGCCTAGTTGTCGTAACATGTAGAACTGAGGTAGCGTGGATGTGAATATGCGACCACATGCATGTTTGGACAAGTAAGTGGTGTAATCCACTCAACTCATCAGTCTGCAGCTTGTACTAAACCAAAAAATCTAAGTTAACTAGCATGTAGTGACTTTGGCTTGGCGCAAAACCACCATTTGGATGTTGGTTGAGAATTAAACCACTGCATGGAAGAGGAAGAAGGATTGTCGAGCACCGGATCAATTTGCTTATTGCTCTGAGTTCTTGGTCTCTTGCGGGAGCCCATCGTCAGAGATAAAAGCCAGGTAATGCAAGTAAAAGACCCAATGAACAATCCAGGATAGTGTATCGCATCGCATGCTCGAACTGTCAGACGGGATAACGTATCGTCGCAAGTGGATGCCCACAGGTATGAGGGGGGGGGGCATGACTT